ACAAGGTGTTCGATGAAATGCCTGTTTTCGTACCATTTTATGGGGGTCGGTTGGGGCCTTTAATGATGTGCTTTGAGGGTGTATTTGGTATGAATGTGAACATTGAGTTGCCTACTTGTTCATGGATGTGCACCCCCACTCAGGTTATGCTTGATTTATCGAGTTTCTGACCCCCGAACTATGGATGAAACCATGTTTAGGCTGTTTTCTGTTCTTAAGTGTGGGTGTGTGATTAACATTTTCCTTGGCTGTTTTGTTCCACTTTGGGCTGTTCTTTTGCAGGAACATGTCGAAGCCCAACCTCCGGCACCAGTTTTTTCAGGATTTGAGAAGGGGGCCCCACCGGGATTGTTTTCAGAACGTCCTGGCCTGCAAGTTTGGGCAGCATCATTACTGGTCCAAGCGCGAGTTGGAGAAGCTCAACTGCTACGAGCACCTCTCCCCCGTTGTCACCAACAAATACTGGCGCCGCCTACTCAGCATTCGCGGGAAGGTTTACCATGAGCTCGTGCTTGAGTTCTACACTACCTTCAAGCACGCAGCCACGGACGATTGGAAGGACGAAGCTGCAGTCCAGTTCCGACTCGGCGGTGAACCACGCTCCATGAGCTACGACGAGCTGGCGGACGCCCTCGGCCTCAACCTGGTCAATGACAGGGACTACATCACAGAGATCGCCGAGCCACACAGGGTGGACTTCGGGAGGCTGTACTTCAGCCTCGCTCGGCCACGTCAACTTCCCTTCAAGGCGGGGAAGACGAAGGCCAGCACATTGCAGCTTGAAAACCGTCTCCTCCATCACCTGCTGACCAAGTCTTACACCCTAGCCTCAGACAGTGCCAGCGCCATCACCAAGAGATCCCTGTACTTCATCCAGTCCATGCGGCAGAGGGATCATCCCCTACACTTGGGCTCGGTGGTGGTGAGGACCTTCGAGAAGAGTGCTTCTGAGCTGAAGAAACTCCACTGCACTCCTCTCATCACCTGCCTGGCAGAGTACTTCCAGATATCCCTGCAGGGGTGCACAGAGCAGGGAGAGACCACTCCCTTTGGCCGGGCAACGATCACCAAAATGCTCCTGCTTTGAGAAGAGCGAGGTGTCATGTGGATCAAGGGGTTTCCTCAACCTCAGATCCCAGAGGCGGTCCAGCAGGAGGCTCCCGAGGGTGCAGCTGATGAGGAGGTCCAGCCCGAGGACGTGGATGACACTGCTGCCGCCCGCCCCACCACCTTCGAGTACGGGGGTGGCAGCTCCAGTTTCCCGGGGCAGGATTACTTCACCTCCCACTTCGAGCAGCTGCGTCTCCAGAACCAGCAGATCCTCGACCATCAGATGCAGTTCCAGCAGCAGTACGCGGCTCACCAGGCCGAGTACCACCAGAGGATGGCTGTTTACGATGAGAGATTGGACCAGCTCCAGACCCAGCAGGGAGTGACTCTCGCACACATCGAGCGGGAGAGGCGCCGCTCTAGGCTCATGCAGGAGGTACAGGGGCATCTGCTCCAGCTGCTACCGGGCGAGCAGCCAGTCTGGAGGACTCCCTGGGAGGACTCTCCACTTCCACCTCCCCTAGCGGATGGTGCTGATGGTGGTGACGCCTTCATGAACGGCATCGTTTTCGATCTGGACAACCTCGGCGACGAGTAGGCTGTACTCGTTGCCCCTCTCAGTGTGTTTTGTTTTTCGTTTTAGACTTGTGTGTGTTTGCTCCATGTGTGAGGAGCTTGAACTTAGTGTCGTTTGTTTTAGTTTTTGTTTGTTTCTTTTGTGGATTGTTTTTGCTGTAGCCGTCTGGGCTAACACTTATCCCTAACACAACGTGTGCTAGTGTGTTCTTGGTGTTCGATTCGTGCAGAACTGTCCATCTTCCCATTTGTTTCTCGCTGACTGGTCCACTTCCAGTCCCCCAGCAGTTTCAATCCGGTAACATCGTTCCCCTTCCCTATCCCTCTGCTCCATTGAGGGCAATGTCGTGCTTAAGTGTGGGGGGGGGTGCTTTGTATCGGTTGGAATGTATATATGTGTGCTTGGAGCCTAGTCCACTGTCCAAATCTCGAGATTTGAGGGCTCCAAGTACTGCTGTTTGATCGTATTGGCACTGTGTTTTGATTGATGAATTGAATGGTTTTCGGATTGATGCATGACAGCTTGATTGTGACTAGGACAACCTATGATGAGGACTAAGACGTGCAGTAGAATTGTGTAGGGATTCAGTTTTTCAACTGTTTGGTTACCAACTGTGACTTGGATTGATTACTTGTTCTTGACAGTCTCTTATGCATCTAGTTCAGGGTATCAGAATGTGAGATAGAGCATATAGGTAGCCATGTGAGATTTGAGCCTGCTCGTTTCTTTCTTGTGCGATAGATCCCTCTTCCATGATGTGTAGCATTCACGTTGTCACTAGCTAAGATGATGGGGGCATAGGATTAGCCCACGACCAAATTTGACTGTCCTCATATGTCATATCCCCTAGTCAGCCCTTTTGAGCCGTGTGTTACCCTTTCAACTTCAGGCTGCCCATCATCTCCTTCAAAGAAACCCATGTCGGCTTCCACCTCTTGAGTGACATTTGCAGCAAATTGCACATTGTCACCATCACTATCTCCTTCTGTATCCTCCAAATAGTCACTATCTTCTTCCTCATCATATTCAGAATCCTCCTCCAAATCGTCTCCAGCAAGCTTTTTTTTGCCTTTTCTCAAACTGCCAGCACCAACTTCCTCAACTTCACTATCCATGAAATCTTCAACCTCATTGCTTGAGAAAGCATACAGCTCGATGACTTTTCCATCATCATTGGCTACAGTTGACATGCTCAGAATATCATCATCATTAGTAAGCTCCAACATTGCATCGTTGGTTGGAGATTTCCAATAGAACTTCGGATATTTAATCGTCCCACCACACGCCGCATATATTTCATGAAGGTCCAGCAATGACAGTTCGTCAATGTCAGCATAGTCACAAAACACAGTGGTCTTCTCGTTCAGGAAATGCTCGCTGCCAACCTCTTTCAACTCATGAGACACGTGAACTGCAAATGTGAACTCTCCACTGGCATCACCTGTTTTCAAACAAATAGCAATTGAAAAGAGTAGTTATGGAGTAGCAGAGAAGTAGGTGGTCAAGGACAAGAACTTCTGTTAAAAGACAGAAAATGCCAAACTCTACTGCTGCATTTTCGTCATTTCCCAGAACCCTACATTTTTTTATTCGTAAACTACCCCAAGTGTTGTCCTTATCACTAATAAAGGCCAACTGTGGAATGGAATAGACCAAACCAAACACCAATCTACCATAAAGACAAGAGAAAAAGGAGGGAAAATTTACGATATTTAGGCTGAGTTGAATTCGGAGCCCGCACATGCCCCACCATGTTTCCTTCAGTAGTGAAATGGTGACCTGGAGGAAAGGGACAAGAGCCTGCAGGTTAGCATAAAACAAAGGAAAACGAGAACCCCGAAAAGCTTCTTCTTCCCACTCGATACTTTCGTCTTGACCCTTATTCTTTTCTCTTTTTCAGACTTTCGAGACTTTCCAGACAGGGTTCGAATAAATAAAAGCCAGAACCTCACCTTTAGGGTTTCGTTGTCGGAGAGAGGAGGAGTATGAAAGCTTCGATTTATGGTTTTGTAGTCTGCTTAAACAGGGGAAAATCAGGCGCGATGGGGAAGAAAATGGGTAGGGGGTTTGAACTGCTAATTGAGAAAGGAGTCAACCACACTGTGTGGCGTGCTCCATTCCTCCTTCGTCACCGATGAAAAGAGTGGAGAGGAAGAAAAACGGGAGAGATGAAGGCGGCGCGGGATGGAGAAGGGAAATGTGCTGAAGGGTTTTAGAAATTAGGTTTTGTTTAGTGGCGGGTGGGTCGTTTTTGTTGGTGGGTTGGATCGGTTCGGGTCTGGTCTGGTTTGGTTAGAGGTTTGGTTAGGTTTAGCTGACATGGAGGGTTTAAATGACGTGGTGGGTCAGGTCAGCCAATTTTCGGGTTGAAAGGTGCTGATTAGGCGAATCCGTCAACCACGTCATCACTTAACGGACGCCGTTAACGGCAGCTAACGGAGAGTGACCATGAATGAACGGTTTTTGTAAAGTTAATGACCAAAAATGGATTTAAATATTTCGAGTGATCAAACATAAATGTTTTTTATAATCTCAGTGACCAACCATGCAATTAACCCCAATATTTAGGGAATTTACCCTGATTTGAACTTAGATCACTGCATGCATTTTTTCATTAGACTCTGTTCTTTCATTTAAAATACAAATATAATAATAAAAAATTATTCTTTATTCAAATTGTTTTACTAGATTTTGAAAAAAAAAACTGTTTTGTATTTATTAGTTTTTATATATTTTACTAGATTTTGAAAAAAGTTGGGCCTCATTTTAAATAGAACAGTACCTCTACATTTTCAGAACCGGCCATATCCTTAGATATGATGAAAAATGAAGGAGCCCTCAATCCGCAATAGATTTATTTCACACGGGTGCCTTTTTACACCCCAGAACTTTGACAGATCGCTTAACCCGGTTCATTTTGACGCAAGAGTAATCGATTAGTAAGCTATTAGGCACTTTTTTTCAAAGGTGGCTGCTTCAAAGAAAATCTCCTAGCTATCTCTGCACCCTTACCTCCTTTGCTACTGAGTGATCATTTAAAAGCCTTAACTAATGATGTTTCCCTCTCGACGATGAGAGGATGAAAGCAAGGATGAAATAGGCAATTTTAATTTAATTTTTTATTAAAAATCCTTAACCAAGCCAAGCATTGGATTTGGCCCAAATTCCTTTTTTGCATTATATGTTTTGTGGATGCTGGATTTGGTAAAATCCCTCGAAATGAGATTCTGCATCCAATCGACCCCTAAAAAAAATTGTACATATATGTTATACAGTAGACTACTTTCACGGGAAGTTACCACTAATATGGCTAATCAAGATCCCTTGCAAATTCTTGACCCAAGTTACCAGATTACGCACCACTAGTACTATACTTGGCTTGCACAGTTTATATCCATATATAAAATTGTTTAATCGAAAGACGAAAACTTATTTCTCAGACATTGTTAATATGCTTTACCCACGTTTAAGGCAGCCACAATATACAGAGAGAGGAAGCTATATTAAGCATTATTAATTAGAGCTACGTATATACTATATACCATCTCAGAAAAGAAAACACAGAGCAAATTAAAGGATCATCACTGCGTGCTCTGGTTGGCTTGAACAGTACTTATATTGAGTTACTGAATGTAAGACTGGCCAGTGATATCCAGGTCCCGGTCCCCCGTCGACGGTGGCGGCGGATGCTTCAGCTCCACCGCCGGCTTCTCCACTGGTCCGTCGGCGCTCTGCGTATCGCTAGCCGGCGGCTGCCCTTCCTTTTTCTTCATCCCAGTAGTCTCGTTGGCCGCATACATCCCACCGCCATAGGCTTCCTTCGTCACCGGCCTCATCCCCGTCACGTGTGGCGGCGGCGGCGGGGTCGTCCCTCCACCTTCCTTAGTTTCTCGCTTCTCCATTTCTCTCTGGATAATAATTTTCTTGCTATGGAACTGGAAAGCTTTCTTTAATTCTTTTATATAAGTTGTCCTTTCCAGTGGCGGAGTAAGACACGTCTCCGTTTGCTCTTGCCACAGGCCGCCACGTGCTTTGCCGCATGCAAAATTTTTATCGGACTGATAAGAGTCATTAGATTCGTGTGGGCTGGGAAAAGATTATCCACGGTTCTGGACCGGGCCTTGGAATAGCAGTGAGCTTCACCCAGAAAAGCCCATTCGTTTCAGGAGTACATAAACATGGATCCGGTCCGGAGATGCCAATATGACATTAGTTGTTCATCTTGCTCCATGCTTGTTTATCAACCTATATGTTAGAGGAGCTTGACTTAATTTCTTGATTACAAGTAGGTGAGATGCTTGGTTTTTATAGCTGGATTTTAAATTTTTTAAGGACAAAAAATTATATAAAACTGGGAGTATGAGAATTAAAATGGGATGAAAACCATATATTTAACCTGATTTTAGTAAATTTTATCGCTCTCGTTTCGTATGTTTTGTATAATAATTAATGAAAAAATTTTAAAAGTGAGTTCGGGGTTAAGATTTAAAATAAATTTAAATTATTTTTTGATTGGAACCGATTTAATTTAGACATCAATTTGATCATATCGGTCCAATGTCGTAAGTAAAATGGATCAAAAGCAACTCTATATAGTGGAACGGCTGCCTCTAGAAGCCCTTTCTTCTGTTCCACTTCCCATGTTATTGGACTAGAATCACAATAATAATTTAATTAACAAGCTACATATAAAATCAATTAAAATTGAAAGGCAGGCAGTCAACTCCTAACTCCAATTAAAATTCAATATGTTAGTGTTTTTCGCGAGGAAAATCTGGTGTTTGAATTCAATAAATGCACATTTGAATTCTTGAACAACGACAATAACACGGTTCACATTTCTTCGAACAATGTTCGAACAAGGGTATTGATGTTTTTGATGGATTTTTGGGAACAAGCTACGTTAATTACTCATACTCCTATGGAGGTTGTTCACTAAGAGCTCCGAAAACTAAGGCTATGGCTAATTTTCAAAGAAAAGATAAAAGTTTGACATTGTGTGTCAAATGGTTGGTTGTGGAACCTGTTTCCAATCTTAGTTTCTCCTATTTATACCAAGGGGTGCACGCATTGTCCGACTATAGGGCCAAGGTGATCTAGATTTCGTGATCACGTCGGGCTACCCAACTCGCGACGAGACTAGCTCCTTCCCGGAGACTTAGTGGTTTGGGCTTAAAAACTAGTATCAAGAGGCTCAGGTTAAATAACATTAATTGTTATTATTGATCTGGTCTTTTAAATATAATAAATGCCTTATAAATAATCAATGTGGTACAATACCAATTTTAGGTGTAAACAAAGGCCCCCAACTACTTAGTGCATAGGAATTATGGACTAAGTAGTTGTTTACCACCATGTACGCCAAGTAACAAGCTAGCTTGTGTCTACTCAACACATCTAGTTCGTCCTTTGCCAAATTTGGATTTCACGTCAAGCCAACACGGTAAGATGGAACTCAACGTTAAAGATTTGCCCCATGCCTTAACCAAATTTTGGTTTTCAATAATCAAGCCAACACAGCCCAATGTAAGCCTTCTTCATTTAATTTTGTTATTTATTTTCATGTAATTTTGTCATGAATTTATCTAACCCGTGTGGTTGTTTATTTTGTTAGCCGGAGAAAAACGCTTGGAGAAGTTTGATCGTCAAGTTGAGCAATTTAAGAAGGTGGCCACTGAAAACGCTTGGAGAAGTTCGATCGTCAAGTTGAGCAATTTAAGAAGGTGGCCACTGATAGAAAATTTTCATGTGATAACTGGGTCGCCAACGCTCTACGAGCGCAGTAATCAAACCCGGATCACCGGTAAGAGGGGCTAGTGGCAGAACACTAGACAAGCCGGCATCGGCGAGATACGGCAGGAAAAGTGGATGGTATCGCACTAAATTGATCGTATGACGAATGTGGTAAAATCGATCACCAGCCTATAATTAATGCACAAAACTTATATTAATTTAATTCCCCTAATATTTATTATATATCTTAACTAAACTTATTCTAATATACTCGTAATTTAATCTAATTCTATTCATAATTTAATTCTATTATATTATATTATTCAGCTAATACAAAACTATAAAAATAGTTTGAAAACTTACCTCATTTTCCCAAACTGCGTCAATACGATGGTGACCATGCCCCCAAAGAAGTTCCGGATCCACCGGAGCTGTATCGATTGTCGCAAGTGGTGGTCTCATCGAACAAGGATCGATAAGCCTAGGAACTGGAAAAAAATTAGAACATAAATGGCACGACCCGTCTCTTTTCAAAAACCAGACCATAACTCAAACCAAAAACTGGTTACTCCGGAGCAACCCAAACCACTTTTTAAAATTAACCAACCGACATCCTTTAAGAATTTTTAACGAAAAGCCCCAACACTTGGGCAAAATTCTCAATCTCAAACACTTAAAATGACTTAACACAAAATCTCCAGTTTATACTAATAACCATGAAACAGAATAATTAACTAATCTAACTTGACTCCTCACGAGCTTTTCGATATCCCAACGACGCTTGTACTGCTGCTCACCTCGCCCTGCTTCTTCTCATAATCCACCTCTGCTAGACTATCATCAACCTGGTGAGTGAGAAGGGGTCAGTCTCGTCGTTACTTCCTAAGGTCTTTGCCCTAGGCAAACTCCTTACTAAAACATTATTAGGGGAAATGCTTTCCTAGCATGAAAGTCGTTCTAGCATTATGCTCTTAAATAATCATCCTTATCAACTCATTCAACATTAACTCATAAAAGTTGTCGACCTCTATCCTTATCTCAACATAAAAATACTAGGACCACCGCGTTACGTCTCGCCGTCCTATGTCCTACCCTAGTATGCCAACCGCGTTAAGTCTCGCCATCCGGTTGCATAACCAAACTAGGCAATGGCACTGCGTTACGTCTCGTCGTCCAGTCCATGCCTGTCAACTACTGCGTTACGTCTCGCCGTCCATTAGTGACCCAACATACTCGATCAACTGCTGCGTTACGTCTCGCCGTCCAGCAGTGACCCGACCATCTACCGCGTCTAGTAGTGGCCCAACCGCCCGGGGGTTCCTCTTACCATCAATCAACTATTACAATCATACAACCATACATTCATACATATCACAACGCGTGCTTCCACCCTTACAGGCGGTGGGATGCCTCACACACATATCGCGCATAACTCGAAAATTAACTAACATAACTGAAATAAAAGACATAAACTAAAAGACTCGGGACGTTGATCTCCTTGTTGTCGAACCCTCAACGTCACCGCTAATAAAATATGAGCTTCGGATTAGACTATCGATAAATCGAGTTTAGAAATCGCGAAGGGTTCGTGATCCTTACCTAGAACGAAAGTGGTCGAGGTCGGGAGCTGGCACTCCTTTTCCATCCTTCTTCTCGCCCCGGGACGGCGATGGTATGCTGGGACAAGATGTTGCGACGGGGAATTTATGGTGTGTGTGTGGGGGGGGGATTTAATTGCTGGGGAGGGTTTTGGGAATCTCTGCGGAGGTTTTGGGAATCTCTGCGGGGAAAAACAAATAAAGGTGGGGTGGTTTTGGGGGGCCCGGATAGTATAACAATATGATTCATTAAGGGTATAAGGGTAAACTTATCTAAAATCTAATAAAATTAAAATAAAATTAAATGTGTTCCGGCTGCGGGCGGGGCAATTTGGGAAGGAGAAGCTGCTGCCGAGCTACGAGGTCAATGGGAGAGGGATTCAAGGGGACGGGTTTTTCGACGCGCTGGCGATGCTGGAGAGGAATGGGTTTGATGTTAATGGAGTTATGATTTTCTCCGGGGATGCTTCTGCGGCGGCGGGTGTTAATTTGGAGTACCGACAACAACTCGTCTCCGTACCATAAGCTGAACTCAATTAAGAGATCCGATCGGTACCGACCGAGCCCTGAGTTGCAGCCGCTGCCGCCATTGCCGAAACCTCCTCCTCCTTCCGCCGCTGCTTCGAATCTCCACCCTCGTCTTCCTCCTCGTCCAGTCCCTGCTGTTGTTCGAAGGCCAGAGTACGAAAGCTCCGGATCTCCGTCGTCCGGCGAGGAGAGCAGCAACGGCACGCCGTTCTACACGCCGGCTGGCTCTGCCATGAGCAACAACGACGGGTTCTACACTCCGGTTTCTGGTTCTACGCGACGGCACTACAGTAGAAGCAACGACGGCACCTCGTTGAGGTTAGTTAATGTCAGTAATAATGGCTCCTCTGTATCTGTTCCTGACTCGAAGAGAACTTCTCCCAAATGGAGGCTTTCTTCCTCTGTTTATTCCCCCGAGATGAAGCATGTGATTATTCCTTCGACGAATAAGCCATATTTGGAGCCGCCGCCTCGACGACCGCCGCCGCGAGAGGGTGAATATCAACACAACGAGCAGAACCAGAAGTTGCCGCGGAGAGTCTCTGCCGGCTAACAGCTCGCCGCGATTGACCGCACAGCCCGACAAAATCGACGAACAGGAGTTGCCGCTGAGTTTGCTGAGGAACACTAAAAAAATGGGAGAGGATTGGGGGATAAAGCGGAGGGAGCACCAATCTGGTGTTGACAGCTTTGTTGCTATGTTGTGTGTGTTCTTTGCACCAACTGCAGCAGGACCTGGGATCCCTGAGATCAAAGCTTATCTTAATGGGATTGATACACCAAACATGTTTGATGCCACTACTTTGCTTGTTAAGGTAGGATTCTTCATTAATCTGGCACTTAAGAACATTTGGTTGTTGGATTGAGGTTAGTGGGTTTCGGCCCAAATTCTTTGATGAGAGATCTAACAAATATTCATTGTTTCTACCTTTTCAGATTTCGGGTTTTAGTGCTGGTGTAAATGTATCACCATTTCATAATGGCAGACTGGCAGTGATTGAGTTGATGATGTTGATGAAGGAGATGGAAACATGTGTTATGTTTCACTAATTTGTGGGGGAAATAAAATTAACTCAACGAGATTGCTTCTGTATCACTGAAAGAGAGACCGAGGCATTTTGATAAATTCAATAAAACATACTATAAAACACACCAAAAACCTTGTAATGTAAACCATAAATCTCCTGAAACATATCAGAAACACCATAAAACACACCACAAATGTTTCTAAAGCACACCAGAAACCTCATAATCCAGACTACAAATCGCCTAAAACATACTAGAAACACCACAAAGCAAACCACAACTATTTCTAAAACACACCAATAACCTCCTAATGCAAACCACAAATGCGATATAACTAACCACAAAAAAAAGCATACTAGAAACCTCCTAAAACAAACCACAAGTCTCCTAAAACAAACCAGAAATTTCACAAAGCAAACCATAAATATTTTGAAAAGCACACAAGAAACACCCTAATGCAAACCACAAACACGGAAAAGCAAACCACAAAAAACAAACCAGAAACCTTCTAATGCAAACCACAGATATATTAAAATAAACCAGAAACCTCACAATGCAAACCACAAAATTTTTGAAAGAAAACCATAAACGTCCTAATGCAGACCACAAATATATTAACACAAACCAGAAACCCCTCAATGCAAACCACAAAATTTTTGAAAGCAAACCAGAAACTTCTCAATGCAAATCACAAACACGATAAAGCAAACCACAAAAGGCATACAAAAATATGAGAAACCAAACCATAAATCTCACAATGCAGACCATAACATGCGGTGGTCGTTGGCCGTTGACCGGTCAACAAAGACCGTTGACCGGTCAACGAAGTTCGTTGACAGAACTCCGGTGACCGGATTCCGGCGCCGATAAGCATATTCCAGCCCCGATGACTAGATTCCGACGCCGGTAAGCATATTCCGGCGACGGCAAGCATATTCCGGCGACAAAAAGCATATTCCGGTGCCCGACGACCATTTTCCGGCGGCCGGTGATCAAATTCCGACGACCAAATTTTTGGGCAGAAAATAAAAAAATTATTTTTTTTATTTTTTTTATTATTTAAACAGATTTTTCATAATGACAATTATACCCCTGCTTTGATTTTACACTAGGTCAACTCATCTAATAAAAAGTCATTACAATCCTAGCTTCCTATTGGGGAATAAATAAATGGGGAGGGGTTTGGCCCCTCAGTTCCCTTGCCCTTTTATATAGGGATGGCAATCAGCCCGCGGGCCTTGAACATCCGCCGGGCCCCGACCGATAGTAATGGCCCAAAACCCGCGAGGCCGGGTAAGTTGGCGGTTACGGGCGTGCCCGAGACCCGCTGATGACGGTGACGGGCTGGGGACGGATATTGTGATCCCCGCATCGTACCCGGCCCGATAGCAATACGACGCCGTAAAGAGACCATATATAAACTTGGATTTTAGGGTTAGGGGCTTCCGTCTTCATTTTCACCAACGCAGCCGACTGTTCGTCCCCAATTTCCTCTCAACCTAAACCATCGAATCGACAATTTCTGGCCAAATCCCTACGATTCCGACGAATTCTCTTCCTTTCTCTACTAATTTCCCACCAAAATCTACGATCTAATCACCAATAATCCTTGATCTTACCCTTAATCAAGCCCCCAGCCATCGAAAATGTCTCGATCGATGGAGTAGAAAACTCGAATCGTGCATGCAGACGATTTCTTTCCTAGATCGAGAATTCGAGATAAGTATTCGATTCATTATTTCTTTCCTTAATCGATTAATGCTTATAACTATAAGGGTATAAATATGAGACTTACTTGTTCGTTTTGTTCATCTGCAGTTCTTCGAACCCTAAAACCAGAAACCCTAGCCTTCAAGAATTTGGATTCCCAGTACCTATTTGTCATTCTCGGTAAGTTTAGTTTACACTTTACAGTAGTTTGTTCGATTAATGCTTATAAGGGTATAAATATGAGGCTTACTTGTTCATTTTTTTCATCTGCAGTAAGAACCCAAAACCTAGAAGCCCTAGCCTTCCAGAATTCAGAATCCCACTACCTGTTTGTCATTCTCGGTAAGCTTAGTTATAGTAGTTCGTTCGATTAGTTTTTTCCAAATACCCTAGCTTTCCAGATTATTTGAGTTTGATTATTATTTCCTGCTCTTTTGTTTTTGCAGCTTGCTGTTCAGGAGTCCCATCAAGCAGGTTGTGCTTAAACTACAGTATGCTGAAGAAATCGTCAGCCTTGATTGTTGTTGGTAGTGAATGATTTGGTTTATGCTATTCTTAAGTAGAAAACTCGAAATCTGGTAGTGAATGAATTGGTTATGTCATTCTTAAGTTTAAAACAGCTAATCTGGTAGCGTAAGCTAGTGATGCTTTCGGCTACTGGACTTTCGCCATCTAGGGTGCAGTACTCCACCGCTTCGCCTAGCAGCACGACGCTTGTATTGCTCTCCCACAACCCAGGCCATGAACTAGATCAGAATCATTCTCAACAAGCCCATAATAAGTGATCCCATTTTTTTCATCGGGTCTGGGTAGAGACCAAAGGTCTTGAGCAACCGGTCCGGCAGAACAACTCAAAAGATAAAGAAGTATCGTTAATTTCTTCATGCTCGTTCCAAGTTCGAAGTAGCATTTGTACAAATAAGAATCCCCTTCGTTACATGATTTCTGAGTTCTTTAAAGAAAACTTCAAAAAGTGAAAGGTGTTTTTGGGGAGAACCAAAGGGGAGTTCCGTTTCCAGCCCCCAAACTGTTAAAAAACAAAAATATCCAGTGACTTAATAATACTGAACACATTTTATCTTTGAAGTTCGAATAATTTCAGTCAATTGATTCAGTTTATGATATACTTAAGAACTAAACAAATATAGTTTCAGTACATTGATTCTGTTTATGCTATGCTTAAGTACTAAAGTCTAAACACATGTAATCTGTTAAGTACTTAACTTCGAATCAACTTAGTTGGGAACTTTTACAATGCTCATAGTTCTAAATAGTTGGGAACTTCTAAACTGTTCACTTAAGTTCAAAATAGCTAATCCGGTAGTGAATGATTTGGTTTATGCTATTCTTAAGTAGTACTTAGTAATACTGAACACATTTTATCTGTCAAGTTCGATTAATTTCAGTTGATTGATTCAGTTTATGATATACTTAAGTACCAAACACATATAGTTTCAGTACATTGATTCTGTTTATGTTATGCTTAAGTACTAAACACATGTAAACTATTAAGTACCTAACTTCGAAACAACTTAGTTGGGAACTTTTACAATGCTCACAGTTCTATATAGTTGGGAACTTCTAAACTGTTCACTTAAGTTCGAAATAGCTAAGTTGGAATCTTTAAAACAACTAATCTCTACTCTATAAACATTTTTATATAATAGGAATACAACTAGACATAATTCTAAGACGTTTTACTTGTGTCTTCCTCTTAATCAGATGGAACCCAAACAGTTTGAGAATGGTAATGCTGCTGCCCCAGCCCCTGGTAATCCTAATAACCCTCCTGAACCTCTAGATGTTGTTCCTCAACTTCCCTTAGGTGCTAGTAGATCATTAAAGTATGATGTGTGGCCTCACTTCACTCGGATAATGGTGTCTGGAATTTTGAAAGCTAAATGCAACTACTGTAAGAAGGTGTTGGCTGGAAAATCTACTAATGGTACCTCCCATCTTAGAACTCATAGGAACAAATGTGTTCATAAAAAATACATGATGGGAGTCAAAAAGTTCTTGTTGCTAACTACAATGTTAGTGGAACGGCTGACATGACTACCAATCAATTCAGCAGTGAGGTTTCTAGAAAGGAGCTCTGTACCATGATCTTGGTGCATGAGTATCCCCTTTCTATAGTTGAACACTTATATTTCAAAAGGTTTTGCTTCACATTGAACCCTCTCTTCAAAGTCCCAACCCGAAATACCATAAAGAAAGACATAGTGACCATTTATGGTTTAGAGAAGTCTAAAATTCAGAAGGTCATGGACCAAAACAGAGGGAGGATATCTATCACCACTGACTTGTGGACTGCCACAAACCAAAAAAGGGCTTACATGGCTGTCACTGCCCATTACATAGACAACTTTTGGAAGCTTAGGAACCATCTTATATTTTTTGGTTACCTCCCTGCCCCACACACTAGTGAGAGGTTGGCTACAAAGCTTGCTAAATGCCTCCAAGATTGGAACATTGATAGTACGTTGTCAACAATCACTCTTGACAATTGTACTACCAATGATTCCATGATCAATCTAGTGAAACAAAGGCTGGTTCTATCTAATATGATTAGGGATGGGACACTTCTTCATATGAGGTGTTCTGCTCACATCCTTAATCTAATTGTGAGGGATGGCCTTGATGTTCTCAAAGATGGAATTGAAAACATCAGGGAGAGTGTGGTATTTTGGACATGTACTCCGAGGCGAGTTGAAATTTTCCATGGAACTGCCCAACAGCTTAAACTGGTTGTTACCAAGAAATTGGTGTTGGATTGTCCTACACGTTGGAATTCTATATTTGCTATGCTTACTGCTGCTATTCCATATAAGGACGTGTTTGCTATTCTGAAAATAAGTGAACCTCAATACAAATCTCTGCCTACCAACGAGCAGTGGGAGTTTGCTCATATTTTGTGTGAGAAACTTGAGGTTTTCAAGGACATTACTGTAATATTTTCTGGTTCAAACTACCCTACAACCAATCATTTTGTCCCTAAAGTATGCGACTTGAGGTTGCGTTTGATGGAGTGGTTAGTTGATCCTAATCCTATGATCGTTTCTATGGTTGAGAAAATGTGGGCTAAGTTTGCCAAATACTGGGATGATATTCATCTGCTGCTTGCTGTTGC